GGTATGCAGGGGTCAGGATGTCAAAAGGTACTATCTGCCAGGGTGGAAGGAAGTGCTGTGCTCTTTCATCTGTATATACATCGTGCAGTCCCATCATTTTAATATGAGTGGCAGTTCATTGAATCCATTTAGACTCGCTAGTTCCATTTCGTATGTGTTCTAACAGTGCAACTGACACAATGTTGTTTTTGTTATCACGCAGCAGCTTTAGTCCCATCATAAGATTAATTTCAAATATTCTATCTCGAATGCTAAGTATATTTAATTCTTTCCGCATGTTGAGAACTTTGGTAGTTATAGGACAGCCAAGTATAATTCTGAGTGCTTCATTTTGCATTTTTTCCAGTCTATCAATACTTTTGCCATTCTGCAGGACCAAAGCTGGTGCATGATAGTCTATCAGAGACCTTATATACGCTAAATACATCATTCTTGCTATTCTAATATTAACACCATATTTCGGCCTGTACCCCACTACAGTACTGAGAACCTTGAGTCTGTCTCTACATTGTTGATGTAACTTATTGACTGCAGTTGAGGTACAAGGGACAGAGACTCCAAGGTATTTGAAAGAAGAGACATAGTCTATTGGTATGTTGTCTATCTTAAGTTTTCGTGGTCCACTTTTGCGGTTGCCAATTTGTCTGTTAAATACCTTAGTTTTAGCAGCGTTGATTACAAGACCAAGGCTCTCACAAGCTGTATGTATACAATTTAAGACTGTTTGCATTTCGCGGTGGGTTTTAGTATGCACAAGGATGTCATCTGCATAGTTGATAGTGATGTTTGTCGGACTAGTTGGGATTGATTTTAGTAAAGCATTAATTAGAACATTAAACAAGGTAGGCCTAAGTACTCCTCCTTGTGGGGTGCCTAGTTGCATTACTTTAGTTTCACTCTTGTAGCCTTGGAACAGTGCAGAGGACTTCCGGTTGGTAAGATAGCCTCGTATCCATTGTAATAAATGTCCCCCTATATCCATTCTCGCTAATTCATACATAATCACTTCCCTATTAGCAATATCAAAGGCATTTTTTAAATCAAGAAATGTTGTGTACTTGTGCCTTTTATCTCCATGAACAGTAAGAAAGGTTGTGATACAGTTGTGTACACTTTTACCATGTGTGAAACCATTGATATCAGGTGACATGTGCTCTTTAACTCTATACAATAATCTATTAAGCACCTTTCTCTCAAAGTTGCACATTTTGCACATGTCCCAACTGGTCAGTGAGATGGGACGGAAAGCATCAGGTTGGCCAGGCTTTGGTACAGGTACCGTAAGACTGGTGGTCCATGATACAGGCAACTGCCCAGTGACATAGCTGGCATTAAACAATTCTAATAAAACACGATGTAAGAACGTGCTCTTATCCAGGGCCACCACCCCTACCAAAGGAACGAGTGGTCCATCTACACCCTTTCGATACAACAGGAGTAGATTATACAGGAGCAATATATCTAACAGGGACTAACAGCAGATAAGAAACTAATGAAAGCATACATCTGTCTGTTCACCTGTGCAACCACCAGAGCAGTACATCTAGTGGTAACACCCGATATGACTGCTCAATCATTTATTCAAGCTTTCCGCAGATTCGCAGCATGCCGATCATGCCCTAAGCTGATGATTTCAGATAACGGAGCAAATTTGGTAGCTGGAGAAGCATGTCTATGGGAAATCTGTTCCCATCCTGCAGTTACTTCCACACTGGAACAGCGTCATTGCAGATGGAAATTTATCCCTCTTAGAGTCCCATGGCATGGAGGATTTAATGAACGGTTAATAAAAACTGTCAAAAGATCCTTGAGAAAATATCTACACCGTCAGAAAATCAATCTTCAAGAACTCCAGACCGTAATCACAGAAACAGATTCAAGGGTGAATAACTGGCCATTGATGTACTTGTCTGATGATCATACTCAACATGAGCCATTAAGTCCTGCCCACCTAATGTATGAAAGACTTCTGACTCCTTTACCATCTCTAGTGGATGATGAGATCAGAGATCAGAGGTCAGAGCGAGTTGGTTCAGGGGTATAAGCATCTGTCCAGCATAATCCAAAAATGGAATGATGTTTGGACAAAAGAATATCTTACATCTTTACGAGAACATCACTATGGGGCCAGTGTCCCACATAATATATATCATCTCCAACCTGGCGATATTGTCTTGATAGACAGTAATGGTCTTAGGACTGACTGGCCGTTGGGTAAAGTTGTCTCAGTCCATCCAGATAGTCAGGGGATTTTGAGAATAGTCAAAATCCTGTCTAAAGGAACAACTTCCCTGAAGACATTGGACAAACTCATCCACATGGAATCAGTGAGTCAGCTACAGTTAGATCCTGGGAGAACCCAAGACCCTCTTACTCCTCATGACCCACAGACTTCTAACAGACACAATCGTCCACAATGGACAGTCGCACAAAAGTGCAAGCAAAATTTGCACTTGTATTATCAATCCGATGGAGAGTAATTGAACACACATGGTTATTAACCCCTTAACTGCGTTGCCTCCAAATATGACACCCCCCCAGTGTGCAGGAAATAAATTCTCTGGAAAAAATTTTTTTTTTTTTTTAAAGTGTCAAAAACCCTTCCCTCAGTATGGGTATGTAAAAAAAAAAAAAAATTGTACTTACTTTGGCTGCTATGGGGTCCGTAAGTTGGGGCGTGACGTCATCATTCCCCGTGCGCCCGTGACATATGCTCCCGGGGCCAGTAGGGCGCTCGGGGCGGGGCGCGCGAGTTGCCGCGAATATATTTTCGTTCATTTTTTGCGCACAGTTCCAAATACAATTTAATTGTTTTTACGTGCCAATCCAATGTATAATGAACACATACACTATATTATGGCAGTAGAACATCCGTACTGTCCGTAGACACTGTTACGTGCATCACAAACAAGTTCACTTATCCTGCACAATTTCCAATGTCATGCTAATATATTTATATTTACACTTTATATACGCACTGTACAGTATCACACACTATATACACACACCATAAACACACTCAGTACTCCGCGAGTGTGTGATATGCTGCGAAACAGCCAACGGGGCAGAGTGGCACCTTGCACTCCACGCACCAGGTGCTGATGCATCTTCGCTTTTGTTCTCTGCGGGTAGTGTTCCTGCATACTACACACGCACGTTTACCCTTCTCCCGTGATGCTGTGCCTGGCATATACTCAAGCATATGTACTCCGAAGTTCTCATTACCCCTCAGTCTGTCTGGAGCTGCGTGTGGCATTGTTGCTTGCACCCCGCGTGGTACAACAGAACCCTCCTTGCCATACTTTACTAGCAGCTGTGACACAACACCAGCACTGAATGTACGTATAGACGGTCTCCTGCCAGATTTTACTAGGTACATATTGAAGCAGTTGAGCACTGCAACATCCATGAGGTGGAAGAAGAACTTTTTCGTCCACTTCACAGACTTGCTCACGCACTCCACTCCACCAAGCATCATGTCACATTTATCGACGAGGCGCATGTTCACGTTATAGTCTATGACACAGTCTGGCTTATACATGGGGGTTGCGTGTCTGAAAGTGGACTTTCCCACTGTCCAACATGGCACCGGTGTGAATCGTAGTCAGCATATTCACCTCGCGTCTGTCCTTCCACCGCACTGACAGCATATTGTCACACTTGCGCAGCTGGCACTCACCCACGGCTATACCTATACCGAACACTGGCATTTCCTTCCTGTGGGCCTTCACAGTGCCACATACGCCGGTGTTGTGGGCAAGGAGGTATCTGGTCAACAAGGGGCTGGTGTAATAGTTGTCGGTGAACAGTATATGCCCCTTGTTCAGCAACGGTTCCATCAGGGTTTTTACGACACTGCCAGAGAACCCGTGTTCATCTTGAGCTGGTATGTCGACGTCTGTACCAGAATATAATATCATGTCCAAGACGATACCAGTCTCACAGTCGCACAGCACAAAAAACTTCAGTCCAAAATGGTGCCGCTTTGATGGGATGTACTGCTTGAATGCCAGTCGCCCCTTGAACAGTACAAGCGACTCGTCAATAACCACATTCTGTGCAGGTACAAAATAATCCCTGAACTTCCCTCTCATGTCACTGAACATCTTCCGTACTTTCCACAGTCTGTCGTGTCTGTCCTCATTTGCATTATTCTCGAAATGCAGGCACCTGAGAATCAAGAGAAACCTATCACGCGACATGTACCGGTTGAACACGGGCGATGGAACAAGGCTGTCTTTGCTCCAATAATCCTGGATGACAGCTTTCTCAGAGTGCTTCATCATCATGCTGAGTGCCAGAAACACGTACATTTCGTTGATTGTCGTGTCCTTCCATCGCGTGAGGCGTGAAGCAGGTAAAATGCCGGCGTCTATGAGGCTGTGAGCGAACCTGTTTGTCTCAGTCACAAGATGCGTCATGAATACATTGTCAAAATATGCCTGGAAATATTCCATGTCTGCCATATCATAACCGGTATATGGGAATAATGCTGTAACACCAACATCGGTATCATCAAACGTTGGTATTTGAGGGACAAATGTGGCGCAATCCTCCCACACAAGTACACCAGGGGGTTTGGTGTTGGCACCAACACCACGGCCAACACCACCACGAGCACCAAGACCACGGCTACGTCATCATCTGCGTGAGGGTATGCAAGGCGCTGAGGCAGATTTACATACTGTAGGCCTACCACGAACAAATGATGTTGAGGGCCCACTGTCGTCATGCTGGGAGACACGCTGCCGCCTGCCTCTACGTGTTGCTGAGGCAGCAAAACCCCACCGCCAGGTAACACCACCGCTGCTCATACTCGGGTCGTCCACACTACTCGTATCGGAGCCAATGTCACTGAAGCCCGAGAAAGATTCGTCACATGTACTGTCACTGAATAAACTACTAGCATCTGGGGACATACATGATGGTGGTGATGATAACGGTGTTGACCCAGGGCGGCGAGGCAGGCCGGGCGAGGCGCGTGTACCGTACACGCTCGCCACATCTTCCAATTCCGTCTCTCCCTCACTCGTATCAGATCTCTGAATAAGGTCTTTCTCTGAATCATAGTCTAGGTCATCATCCATAGCAACGTCATCATACTAAATTTCGCATATTTCCTCCTCAGAGAGTTGTTTTCCATGACCCCGGGTAACTGTGGAGCGGGAGCTCGTAGAGGATGCATCAGACATGGTTGCTGCTGTGAAACTGAGGCTCCCCACGGCCGCGGGGCATGCTGGGATTTTTTTTCAAGATGGTGGACGATCACTGGGGCCCCCCAGCCATCCATACCATACCCGCGTCACCTCGTGCCAGTTTTGAATGAAATGTGAAAAATAAAAATACCCGGAGGCGCGTTGCGCAAACCAGACGCGGGCCTGCAGGCGCGTTGCGCAGTTTAAGGGAAATAATTACGTAGCAACACTACCAGAACACTCTACAGCAAAGCTGAGATATAAAATATCGTGCCTAAACTCAACAAGAGAGTTATTCAGTCTGGCACACTTGTCAGGCAGGCACCCGACATTTAGAGAAGTATATTGAATGTTATTAGAGTATTAATTGACCAATTGTATGCTTGTATAACTTTAATATATCCAATAAGTCTTTCTGTCGGTTATAGAGTGAGGCAATGCCTCATATTTCAGTAAGTTTATTAATATTGTAGAGCAGCAACTGAATTTTTATATAAATTGAATGTATCTATATATATATATCCTTGAACATATAAATTAAGTTAACAATTGCTTGTTTAGTTATATTTAAGTTATCATATAAGTTTATCTAATTGAATATAATTTTTAGTACTTAGTTAACAGTACTTAGACCACATTTAAGGTCATACTTCTACAATTTTATCATACTTCTACAATTTAAATTGTTGTTTATAGTACAAGAATATTGACTGTTGATAGTTATGGTGCTAGGCTGGACTATGTATATGTTTAAATCCCTGCTTTAAACAGAACCAGTGTCCAGTCATAGAACTGAATTTATTAAAATCTTATCCTTGTATAAAAAAATACAAGTTAATGTGAGATACTTTTCTGCAGGTGGACTGTGGATCTTCAATCTATGTGTCAACTAATTCATTCACCCAACCTGCCCCTTGCAGCCCACAATCTGTCATTAGGAAAAGAGGAGCTAGGATTTACAACCCTAGCTAGAGGCATTAGTTGAATTAATTTGCAGACAGTAATTTTTAATTTAGTTTAGTACAAGTCCCTGGTAGTTCACCTCTCATATCAATCCTGGCAGGTTTTTCCTACACTGACAAACTAATGTAGTATATAATACAGGTGCAGTTCTGGACACTGCTCTCCAAAATGTATGATATATTGGATACACCACGGATACTTTGGGTAGACATCATACACTTCATTTCCAAGAAGGAGGTATTAAGTAATACCATTCTCAATACCACAACTCCATCCGCTTTAATTGCTGGTATTTGTAGTTAGGTGAATCAAGCTTCTGTCTTCCACTCCAGTGGTCATGAGTTCAAGGCTCCGATGGTGCAAGTCAATGAAATGTTATTTCCACATATATTATTTACATGTGCAGGAAATTATCATATGTAATATATACAGACATTTTATATATAAAGACCTTACACTGATCATATACAGAGAAAATATATATAGAAAATGAAATAGCATGTTTATGGGTGCTGTGTCATAGTAGAAAGTGCTGTAATATGATGTAGAATATATAGTAGCAGAGTGTAGGATGGTGTTGGTGCGGTGTAGTTGGAGTACAACTCTACTTACTGTGGAGAACATCGTCTATTGCTGTGAAGAAAGTGACGACAGGGGAGGTGTAGACGACAGTGTTGTTGAGGACGGTGGTGATGTAGACCTGGTACTGGGTGAGAGGCAGGAGTCGCTCCAGTACCACGCTCCGCTGCGGAGCCATCACCTCCGCAACCACCCGATACCTGTGGAGGATGGATTCTAGTATATGGCATATACTACTACTATTAGTAATAGTAGTCATCATCAGTCTCAGAAGACTATGGAGTTATGCTCTGGTTGTAGAGTGGCCTCTCCAGGGCGCAAAGCCATGGTAGGTTGATATTGGGGAGAAGCTGTCACCCTTGCATCAAACTCTCCGTCTTCCCCTCAAAGTTGGGAAAACTAGGCTCAGGGACTCCCAACCCGGAGACCGCATTGGTCGGGGACGGAGAAGAACCTCAATGTTCCTACTCTGCAGTTTCTCAAAACAACCCAATGGTCTCCAGCGCTTTATATAAATATAAATTCGTGGTTTATCTGGCTGTCTGGCGGAGTGTAAATATCGAGAACTGTGAGACTCTGGCCAACACTTCGTCTCTGTCTGCCCTCTTACGGCGTAGTCCACTGAGCTCGACGCCCTGTCACTCTGCCCCTTAATACCAGATGTTCAACCATCCCTGATTCTCTAAATATTCTATTTTACATTACTGGTAGGTCATATTAAAGAGTCGACTTTTACTTTACAAGACATTTATTTTACCGGTAATTTATAATCAACGCCTGACTGTAGGCACTACTTCCTTGGGCGGAGGAATCTCAGGGAGCCACCGTTTGCCAGCAGCCAGCTGATGGCCTCTTCCAGCTAGCAGATAGTAACGTCAATGTTAAGTTCATCCCAGAACTAGTAAGTGATCATTTTGCAATATATTGTGAGTACAATGTAGTGGATATTAGGTCCAATCCTCATCCTAGGGTTAAAATTAACATTTAGACAATCTTAAACCGCACTTTAAGTCTTATGTACACAAGTGGTACACTGGGTATACACCTGTATCAGTACCACTTTTACAATAATCTTGTCAGTATCATTACCGGTTATTATGATACCTGGGCTAAATTAAGGAAAAAAAACATTCGTTCTTCATCATGGACAGAGGATCCTCTTATTATTGCAGAGCGAGCTAAAGTGCTTCAGCTGCTGACTGTTATAAACGAGACAAAACAGCTGACAATTGACTAGCATTCCTCTATGCCAACAGAGATTTTCGCGAGCTTAAGGGTCAAGTTAAGGACACACATTGGGAACAATTCCTACAAGGTATCAATAGAACTACAACATTATCGCAAATGTGGAACAAAATTAAAACATTACCAAACCCTCAACCCCAGTTCAGCTTCATCATACTCCTGCAGAATATGCTAACATGCTCCTAGCTCAATGGTCTAGTGTCTCACAAATTTCTTCCTTATTTCCAGATATACAGCAGCATTTAAATAATACGAACATTAACAGACACTCTAATATTGAAATAGCACATTCCTAACCAGATTTAATGGATCAGTTTGCTATAACCTTTTTTGAATTAACATCAGCATTAGTTAAACCTAAACAAACTGCCACTGGTGAGGATGGTATAACTTATAACACCTTGAGCTTACTGAATGATGTCCCAAGCCACCCTCTGCTTGACCTCTATCAAATGAGCCTCTCACAAGGTATCTTGCTAAAGAAATGGACACAGAGTCTCTTAGTACCGATTCCCAAACCTAACTCTCAAAAACTTGAACCCATTTTTCTTACATCTTGAATGTGTAAAGTCTTGGAGAGAATTGTTCTCAATCGTGTCATGTTTCAGGTACAAAAAAATAATGGCTTCTAACCTATATGGGTTTATGCTCAATTGTAGCACACAATAATATTAGAATAACTTGTTGCATTTGCAATCAAAGGTAATCTTCTGAGTTGCATTAAAAGCTACCAATCCAACAGGCGTGCTAGTGTCCTATTTAAAGGAGTTAAAAGTACAAGAACAGATGCATTCGGATTAGGCAAACCTCAAGGTGGTGTCCTAAGCCCTATGCTCTTTAATATACTTATGCACAAACTTATCCATGACATACCTGTACAACCTACTGAAACTGTTATATGTTATGTTGATGATATTTGTATTATGGCACACAGTAAACAAGGCTACAAGTGTTACTTGATGCATTCTCCAAGTAGTAGAATGTGGCCTCATAATCTCTGTTGATAAAATAAGGGTTCTTATTTCCCATTCTCTTCTTGTTAACTAAACTATTAATGGAGTGACCGTGGAGACTTGTGAGTCTTATAAATATCTCGGAGTCGAGGTTAATGATACAAATCTCATCAGCAACCTAAGCAAAAAACTTGTTGAGCGTTTTAAACCTTTCAAAACTCTTGTGGGCAAAGGATTTGGCATTAACATTATATATTCTCATTATTTTTATTTTGCCTTTATACGATCTGTTGTTGATTATTATTATGCCTTGCATCTTCTTATTTTTTCTCCTAAACAACTACAAGGCCTAGATGTAGTACAGAATGATGCCATGCACATCATCCTGGGTTGTCCTTGAACTGTTAGAATTGTTAACATGAGAAAGAAACTAATATTACATTCTTTTTACGAGAGAATAGTTCTACTTAGTACTATATTTTGTGCCAAAACTTTAAAAAATAATGACCTCCAGTTCTATTCAAATTAAATTGAGATCCATTCTAAACAATTCTGACTATTCACTTAATCCGCCGCAAAAAGCTCCTTACATTGTGTGGCTCACTTGTTGTGCCAATGATCATATGAAACTGAATGTGTCTCTTAATCCTCATAAAACTGTTCATTATATTCCCCCTTGGAAAGATGTGCAGGTCTCTTTACATTATACCCCATCAGTGTCAAACAAATGTATAACACTGAAACTATGAGATGTATAATATTAGAAGCTATTGACAGTCATCTTCAAAATCTCAAACCATCTGAAACCCATGCCTTTACTGATGGCTCTGTGCAATTAGGCACTGGTAGGAAAGGTTGTGCATGTGCAGTATATAAAGGGAATGAAATGATCATGTCTAGTACAAAGAGATTGAACAACTGGGAAAGCATGACACAGAATGAGCTATTGGGCATTTATTTAGCCACTGAGTACCTTGAGCTCAATGGTGGTGGAGTGATTTTCTGTGACTCTAAAAGTGCTCTGCAGTCCTTAAATAACTCATCACAATTTATGTCTGAAGTAGCTTGTAATATTAAATGGAATGCAATTTTTGCCAATGATAATAACTATCGTATAAAATTTGTGTGGATCCTATCCCATATTGGAGTTGG